TTAAAGGAAACCAAAACCAAAGATTTAACTTGTAACAGAACATGAACAACTTCAAATACATTCAAAGTTAGGTTCATTACATTTATATGCCAAGCTATCAAGCATTTGCCCATATACTGTCCAAAACTATAATATTTTGAAAATCATAAACAAATAAAGTCCAAGTTCTGATTTAAAAAGAAAAAAGGAAAAAAAGAAAGAAAAGAAAAGAAAAATTTTATGCATTTTTTCATCAATTTCTGGCAAAATTCTAGACTAAGCTGTGAATAGATTTGTGTTCTTCACAGAAAAGAAAGATCTCTAAGCAACATAAGGAATTGACAAGGAATAAATCATTTCATTTTAGACATGCCTTAACTTCAGTTGGACATCTGCAAGAAGGCCTTCACAGAATATTTGCAGGCAATGAGGAAAGCCACAACCTGGAAGAAGCACACACTTAAACATAAACACACATGGTTCAGCCACCAAAATTCTTCAGTTCTGTCAGTTCCATTCTGTTCTGTTCTATTGCCTACATAATATACATTAAATTACACCTACACACCAGAGGTTGTGTTCAAAGGAAGGAAGTCAGGACAGAGATGGATCTGGGAACCATAATACATAAAGAAATGACACTTTATCATCTTGAAAAGATGACTCAAGTGTGGGAAAGATGCAATAGTTTTGTCTTGTTTGGTTTTTCTCCAGAATCTTCCTAGAGCTAGATTTTGGCTTTTTGCTACTGTTACTTTTGAAAAGTTTATACACAATGCCTAGAAATATACAAGCAGGAATGGTGATTTTTCTGCCTAGAAAATGTTATGAAAAGAATACTTAGATGGAATGTTAGGTTGGACGAGATAACCTCTAAGTTTCTCTCAAATTCCTTTATTCTACTCCAGAATTAGATAACATAAAATAACCCAAAATATCAGGTCAGGAAATATAGTACCTGTTATTCTTTGGATTATGTGGAGCCCACCCAAAGCTCATGTGTGAGACGATGCAAAAATATTCAGAGGTGAAATGATTAGGTTATGAGAGTTGTAACCTAATCAGTGGATAAAGAGTTTTAATGAATTACTTGATGGTGAATATAAGCTGGAGGAAATAGGTTACTAGGAGAGTGCCTTTGGGGTTTATATTTTGTCACTAGGAAGTGGAGTTCTGCTTCCTGAATGTCTTGTCCTGTGCTACTTTCTTTTGCTGTGCCCTTCTACCATGATATTTTGCTTAACCTGAGGCCCAGAGCTATGGAGTCCTTGACCATGAACTGAACCTTTGAAACTATGACAGTCAAAACAAACTTGTCCTCCTCTAAGTTGTTCTTGTCAGGTATGTTGTTCACAGCAACACAAAGCTGAGAAAACAGTTCACAAGTTAGACTTGAGTATCAGGAGTAGACTATTTTTATGTTGCTGCTTTACCTTAGATGGCAACCCACAGGAAATACAGCAGAGCTCTGTGGATCACTGCAAATAAAAAAGCCAAAAAACTCCTAACTATCTGATTCATAAGGCATAATGTTTGTTGCCTATAGCCCCGAGACAGGGATTTAGAGGTAAGGACCTTGAACCTGGAAAGAAAGTGGTTTCTCAACTTCATGTCCTTTCTCTCCCCACAAATATTTTGGTGAGGATGCTGGTATCTACCATCTTGTAAAGGAAGCAAACAGAGATATAGTCAGAGTAAATATGAACTTACTGAAGAGAGAAAAGATAAATTGATAAATCTAAGCTGAAATAAAGGCTTGCCAGAGCATTGCTCTTCCAGAGCAGACGCCAAACTAATCAGATCACCTTCATCTCACTTGATTGATCTGTTGTTCTTCCCTGTTCTGCATGTTTTCTGTACCTTGTCTTAGCAAACTGCATTTAAAACAAAAAGGTAGAAGATGATTTTGGCATTCAGCCTGTGTGAAATTTTTGAAAGGGGTTTCTCGAGGAAGACTCATGTCATTCCAACAGCCTGCAATCATTTTAACATGAATAGCTCATGATTAAGGGGTCAGTTCTTACCAACAGCAGCAGATGTTGTTGGCATTATCTGGGTGAATGGCGGGCTGTATGCAAACAAAGTTCCCATTAAGAGAAAGAGTCCAAGTGTATCTTTCCTAGAGGATCACGCTCATTTAAATTTTTTCTCCTGGCTTGTTTCCACGAGACTTGGGATTGTTACAAAGATGTGCCATGGAAATTTTCTCCTTCCAGCAGATGCCATCATTAAGCTGGATAAGAATTTCTAGATTTAAGGAGAGATTGGATCCTGGCACACAATTGAGTCTTGTTACTTGACTCTGTAAACAATGAGCCTTCTTTATTACTTAACCTTCGAGGAGCTTTGTCCTTGCGTGTAAATGAAGATGGACCTTAAAATAAAGCTTTGTGCTTCTAACAGGACTGAAAATGTCACTCTTTTATCCTTTGCAAAATGCAACCGAAATAAACGTTAATAGAACCTCTTCAGCATAAACAGTGGGAACCAGAAAATTAAAATATTATGGTTTTGCAACACATGGGCCTTAATGAAAGTGTGTACTGCATGCTTGATTACTTACTAGTCTCTGTCCCCTGATTCTGCTCTCTGACCTCTTCTGGAAATAAATGCCTCCCTCTGCTCCTTCAGTTTTCCATATGACATGAATGTCAAGATAGCTGGAAAAATTAAAAACAATTAATGTGATGTGAGGGAAAATGGAATAGTCTCATTAAGCATCACATATTTGGAAAAAAAGAAACTTTTTCTTCCTTCTCTCTTCCCTAAAAGGAGAAAATAAAGATGAAGTAATTCAGTGAGTCCTAGAAGTTTAAGGTGTGTCTCTGAAGGTTGATTGGCAATATTTACTTTTACCTTGTTTGGACCCACAGACAGCAGAAAAGCCATTACAGTAGTTTCCCTTAAGATGTCAGTGGAGTTGGAAAACTAGCCTGGTATCTGAAGACATAGAGAAGATTCTCAAAATTATTATTCTATTTTATTTTATTTTGGTGGTGCTGGGGATTGAACCCAGGGACTTGTAGATGCCAGGCGAACACTCTACCAACTGAGCCATATCCCCAGACCCACAAAATTATTATTTTAAAATATGACAGTGAGGAAATTACAGATTATCAAGTGATTTTTGTGGTCATTTCCCCATGCCTTTCTCTCTTCACATGTAGGAGATAAAGAAAATGAAATCAAGTTTTACAGAAAAACTAGTGGATTCATTCTTTAGCCCTTCCTTAGTTAAGCTCAATGCTGAAATTTGAATGTGAAAATCGCTTGGACCAACACTTGATTTATAATGAGAAAAATGAGACCCCCTGAATTGGGGTGTGTTTCTTGTCACACAGTGGACAGGATCAGTATACTGGAACAAGAATTTAAAATTTAATTTCATTTATTTATCAAATGGATGTCATTAATAATCCATCCATATCTACTGACAATTATTTAAGCATGGATTTGACCAATGCAACTTGAACCTGATCTTCCCCACTGAGTTTATAATCTAAAGCAGAAAATGCACTGATAAGGAATTAGGTTATTCATTCAAAAATGTTTTATAAAACATAAAATAAAACCTATTCAATTTTAGTACATGATATCTTTTTAACCTACATTCACTATCTGTAGCTTTGAAAGCTCACACTATTATACCAATGCTGTCCACTATAAAAAAAATATGTATATGTATATCCAAAAAAGTCTTTATAAAAGATTTTAATCAGGAAAAAATTACTTATTCTTAAGCATTTATATTATCCAACTCCTACCATATTCTCTGCTGAAGTCATTAATAATACTTTTCACTGTCTTTGCATAGGGTATAAATTAGGATGCTGATTTCTTATTTAAAATTTTTGCGATTAAGAGCCCAAGTCTGATGGTGAAGAGGCTCCAATCTGATACTAATTAGCTAGGTGACTTTAAGTAAATTATTTAATGGTTATGTGCCTTGATTTCCTCATCTATAAAATGAACCATCATAATATTCTCCTGCCTATCTGTGAGAGTCAAAGACATCATTAAAGTGAAACTGCTTTGTAGAGTTAATAGCACTTTTTGATTGTAAAACGGTAGGAGTGAGGCTGGTGATGATGATGATTAATATATCATGAATATGTGGGATCTGTGATCAGATATTCAGTAAGACTACTAGATCTCAGACCCATGTCATTTCTTTATGAGGTTACAGACTAAGCTGCCCTTAATATTGCTTGAGTCACATTTGACTCACTACTAGGATTTATGTTGCTTCCTGATTGTTAAGAACTAAAACCTTTATGAAATATTAGATTTCTGCAATCTCTCAGTTATAGTTCCCCAGCTGCCCTTCCCTCACTCACCAAAAAAAGTGAACATGTCACCTGCCGAGGAAACCCTAAGAACAGCAGTCTAGAAGATTTCCATGGATGCATTCAAACATTTTATACCACTCCTTTTACACTGCTGTCTTGGGAGAAGAGTCACAAATTGAGTGGGATGACTGTAGACCTCCTTCTCCTAACTGGTTCTTCACAAAGGTCGCTGCGAAAAGAGATGACGTACAGACAGGATTTTATTGCAAATGACTCTGAATTGTGCTTCGTAGCGTTTGTCACCTATTTATATTTGATGGAGTGACTAAAATTAGGGGGGAAAAGTAGTAGCTACTTACAAGTTAGTAATGTTTGTAAGAATGCTCAGGAAAAGAGGAACTATCTGTGATGCAAAATATCTAATAAGCCAAATCATGAGTTCAACATTTAAAAGCAAAGAGAAAAATCAAGTCTTTTTTTTTTTTT